GGGCTGCGCCGGCGCCCCCTCGTCGTCCCCGCGTCGCCATCCGCTCCGGGAGCCCTTTGCCGTTCCCGCCTGCTCCTGCCTCTAACCCCCTTTCCTCCCCTTCCAACCCCTTCCCCTCGGCCGCCCCGCGAGGACCTTCCACGCCGCCTCCCCGCCGCTCTCGGCCTGCCCTTCCCGGCCCGCCGGCCACCGCCGCGGCGCCCTCCTCGCCCCTTCCCTCCTTCCCGGCTCCCTCCTCACGCCGCATCCCTCAGGCCGGGGAGCCCATTCCCTCCCGCTCCCCCTGGCCTCGGAGCTAGCCGGGAGGTTGCTCTCCTGGGTCTACTTCTCCATCAGTGTGCCAAAGACAGGCAATCCCTTTTCCTTTCCTTTTTTTTTTTTTTTTTTAAATTTAATTAAAAACCCTCCAAAATCTGAACACCTCCTTTTCCGACACTTCCTAGAAGTGAATGCCGTAGGGAAAAAGCACAAGGTGGTGTGGAAGTTGGCAGCGCCACTGTTGGCTGTATCAGAGCTGCCTGAGCTTTCTGGTAGGAAAATCCCTTCACAATGCTGGAGCAACTGGCAGCCCACCAGCATGTGCGGGTGAATGTGTGTGGGCATGTACATGCCCTTAAAAGATGGTGCTCACATTAGGGGTACATGAGGATAACACCACATAGCTCTTTTTGTGCCTACGTCTATGTCTACTTTGGTATATTTTTATACACGTAGATGCAGGCAGAGCATATGGCGAGTGTAATTGTGCATATTTGTTTGCTCGCATACATGCATATCTGTGGGTATGCATAAATCTAGATTTTGTAATGCAGTTAAGATAGAGCAACTGGAATCGGTGTATGATTCATAGTGCGTGCATATGGCTGTTATAGACTGTGCATTTCTCATGTAGCTCTCCCTGCTGCATTTAGGTACATTATAAGAGTTCAACTGCTTCTTTAAAGATAAATGGTTGGTTTTCTATCATTATTACCTGAACAGTGTTCTATTCTAAATTTACAGGTCTTTAACGTAAAAAGTGAAAGTTTCTTAGGTTATCAGAGTTTCATGCAAAACCAGCACGGGAGTTAGGTTACAGGGTGGTCAGCGCATCACTTAGGTGCAGCTTCTACCCTTACATATTTTACTCGTTATTTTCCTAGATGTAGTCCACAAATGACCCTTCCCTAAAGGAGCTGTATACCTTTGCAGGAGCTACTCAGATTCTGCAGCCTGGCATTTGTCTGCACTGGAGATCTTTCCTTTTCTAAGCTATCTGGATTTCTAATTTGTTTATGTGACATGTTCATCTTCAGGTCTAGGCCTAGATCTATCATACAGGTAGCACTCTCCAGGCTTTTGCCTCTAGTGTTTTGAATCTCAGTATGTTGGCTTTTTATATTGCTTCAGCAGCTGAACTCAGTGCTTTGCTATTTTTAAGCGCTTCTGTAGCTTCAGACCTTTTCTTGCTTTAGCTGATCTGTATTCTTGCTTTGAAAGTTATCCCCTCTAGGCCCCTTAGAAGAAGGACAGCTCAGTGCTTCAGACACCACCGAAATTGCTGATAATGAACGCATTCATTGTGTCTTCTACACGTTCATCTTATCTTCTAGTTAGGAGCTGGGCATGCTGAATCTGATCTGTTTGCAATGTCATGCCAAGTTACCAGTTTTTGTGAACAGTGTCTCCAAGACTTTACTTTACCCTCTGGAATATTTTGACCTGAGTAGGTTCTTGAATAACTAGTCTTATTCAAACTGGTATTTTGTAGATGTGGCCCATGTCCAGACATAACACGGTTAGCATGAGAAGATTTTCTCATCCAAAGAATTCTGCAGTGTTCATCATGGAGATGAGAACGAAGGCTACGTGGGTCTTGATCCCAGAAGTCACTGGTAGTGATGATCCATACCAAAATTCCAGGGCATTGAGAACGTTGTGTAATGTGAAGCTCCCAGTATCTCTGCATACTCCAGCACCCTTCATTTGTATAGCTGCAGTACAGAGGTAGAAGACTGGAATTCTGATTGTTAGTATAGGTTCGGGCAGCTAGCAAAGTCATGGGCTTTTATTTTTGATTGTGGAATTTCAGGGTTGTTTCTCCCTTGCCTCTCATTGTTTGATAACTCAAAATTGGAGCGTGTGCTGCTTGTAGAACCAGCCTTAGTCTAATTGTTCCTAAGAATTTGTGAAGGTAATGGCTATTACAGATGCTTTCCTAAATGCTCTAAAGACTTCTTGCTGTGTCATTTGTCAAGCTACTTTTCCTGGCATGGGTTGAGATCACAGTGTTCTTGTTATTCAAGGAGCAAGAAAACCAGCTTCCACATGGCAAGTATGTTCAGTTTAGAAAAATAAAATTGTCACCTTCATTCCTCCAATGCTTTCAGCCTTTGGTGTTGATAAGTCAACAGTAAGGCCGTAATTTTGGCACTTAGAATGTTATAATGTATGAAACAGAAATTACTGAGGACCTGCTTTTACTGGAATCATGAATCTTTTTACTCGGAAGAAGTACCAATCAAATGTACTTTTCCCTCAACTAAACGAGACGTTGTTTTACCCCATTTCTCTTGGCAAAGGGGCCATCAAAGGATTACCTTGAACTATTGATTTTATCTCACGTTGTGCGGCTTAGCCACCCTTATTTAATAAGGCACATTTTGATCAGTATTGGAGAATCCTTTACTACCTGTAGTAAAGACTTTTGGCCCAGAAGTATAGCCATGGGGACCTTACCTTGTGCACACTATTACAAGTTGGCCATAGAGAAACTTTTATTATTCATAGAGTGGTTGGAAGTAAAGAAACTTCACCTCTGAGCTCCAACAGGTCAGTATTTTTTTAAGAATTCACTTGCTTAACTTGTTGTTCTGGTGTCCTACAGCTTGTTTAAAAGAAAGGCTGATGAGCTGTTTGGGAAGTGTCTCACTCTCCTCTTTTGTCTGTGTCAAAGTGACATTCCTGTGTCATGAACTCACTTGTAGTTAGTCATGGCATTGTAGCAGATACAGTTTACCTTAATCTTCCCATTGAAGTTGAAAGTCTAGTCAGATTTGTCACTACTGTACTAAACTAGTTTATTACATATTTGTTACTCATTTATTACATCTAAATATCTCCTGTTAATATGAGCTCTCAAAAAATGAAGATGACCTTCACTGAGGTCTCTCTAGCTGTTCAGTCTAAAAGAAGTTTATTAGCCTGACCTTCCCAAGCTTTATCCACATCCAATCTTAGTATCAGTTCCTTTACAGCCTTACAACCTGATAATTACTTTTTTTTTTCTTTTTTTTCCTTCTTTCTCCCTCACCCCTCAGTAGTATCCATCAAACCTCTTGGACTCTGAGAGTCTTTTCCTAAGCTTCTTCCCTTGATAGTCCAAGGGAACTCAGCTGAGATGTCGGACAGATTCCTTTGCTTTGGAGCCTCTTTGCAGATTTATCCCTACTAACCGGAGTGGGATACTTCTTTCAGTATAAGAAGTCAGTAGCCATCCGTACTGTGAATTGCTTATGGATGGACCAGGAGGGACTCATTCCCCATTTGGAAGATGCTCTTCATTAGACTGGGCTATGGTTTCCTTAAAAAACATAATGCCTTAGAACATTTTATTTAGATTGTTGTTTTTGGCCTAGTTTGTGCTGTTACTACATTTTTCCTTTAGGATACACCTCTAGAATGTCCTACTTTCTTCTTTGCTGTTTACTTTCAAGAACTGAGAATTGTGCTGAGATGATACTTTTAGAAAAAAAGGATTATGATGTTATAATTCTTTGGTGTAAAGATCATTTTGACAGGTTTCTCATACAGCCATCTGTTTCACCTTGAAAATGTGAAGGTGGTTCACAGCTTTCTGTGTGGAAAAAATGTTACTTATTGTGCTTTTTTATTGGGAGTCTTCTTATAAGCTGAAATAAGGAGCTGTCAGGGAGACTGTGAAAATGTATTCCAAGTTCCTGAATGTCAGAAAACAACTTAAGAAAGTGTCTTGCATTCTAGTCTACCATCACTGTCTTAAGAGATTGAAAAGTTCCAGCTACCTTACACCAGGAAGCATAAGGTTTACATGTGAGAATTCAGCTAGCAGGTTATTTTAAAACATTAATTCCTCTCTCTTCAGTTGTTTTCCTTCTTCATAAATTGCTACCTATGAATAATTTAGCTGTTGAGGTTTCACAAGGTACTCTTTGCTGAGGTTTCTGTACAAGTGATTTGTTAAGAGAATAAATGTAAGAGATCCCTGGCACTGTGAATACTGTCAATACTATTAATAATTCGGTAACAATTCTTTTCTGAAAAATCCCTGTGCTTATTATCAGTCTGTCTGATTGATTTTTGTTTTCCAGTTTGAATATAGCTTTCTTAAAGAAGTCTAGGGTGGGGAAGTTGTACACGTGAAGGCACTAACCCATCAAACAGCAATCAGTAGGGACTATAACACGGGCGTTGATGTAGTCAGTTCCTCTGTAGACAAGGAAAGCTGCTTAGAGCCAGTTACCACTTAAAGAAATCTTGCTAATTCATCCAAATAAGTAATTTGTTACACAAAGTCATCTATGGCTAGAATAACAGGCAGAGGCAACAGAAGAGCATTGCAACTATTGCCATAAAATCCTTTCTATTTTAACAAACGTGTCATTTGCTTCTCTCTGAATCTTACCCTTTATGATTTAAAATTCCTGAACATTTCATGCCAGATGCAATTCATCCTAGAGGCATTCCAATGACTTTCTTATTTTGTGATTCATGGTATAGGTCTATACACTATGAGGTCTATAGCTCTATATACCATAGCTCTATGTACTCTAGCTCTATGATTTATTCCATGTCTACCAGTTCATAAGTTTGCTGCTACCTGACATGCCTTGGTAATTTGGGGTCTTTTTTACTGCTCTTAGCATTTGTAGTTTCCAGTCCAATAATTGCTGTAAGCTGTAAACCACTGAGTTTCTTTAAAATATCAAATTGTTTCTTCAAACAGAACCTCTCAAATACTAGCTGAAAGGTGGGACAGGTTTTCCACCTATGATCGTGTTTAAACAATGCAAGAGGATTAATACTAAGATGCTTTAATAAGAATTCATCCCATTTTAAATACGTGATAAAAACTGGTGACAGAAATGAAACCCAGAAATGTCCTTGGCTGCCTGTTAAATCCAGTTTTAATGATCACTTGGTTTGAAATACATAGAGGTTCAAATAGATTTGGAAGAAAGGAGTTTTCACAATTTGAAGTTTTCCTGATTTATTTACTTGTTATGACAGGACTACTGCCAGTTTGATCTGAAACCTTTTCTCCTGTATCTTTTTTAGAGCAAATACTTTGTTTAAAATTTGGATCAAATATAAGCCTCGACTGCCAGGATGGTATTACAATGAAAAACTTCTGAAAGTTGGTGATTCCCTTGCTCAGATCAAAGTAAGTCATATGAAAACAGAAAATGCTCAATCACAGTCTTTGTTTCCTTATGTTTCTATGGTACTTTAATTTTTAATCATCTTTTACAGAAAGCTGTTTAGAAAGTAGCAAAAACTTACAAAATAATTTCAATGAGAGTTGGTGATTTGAATCTTATTGTAAAATTGCCGTAATTTCTTGATATATTTTCTGTATCTGTATTTTCTATGCACTCTTTGTCTTTTTAAACACCCTGAAATCTTTCTTTAATATTTGTGTGTTTCAGTATGGTAGAGTACAATATCTGACTGTCCCTGTAGGTGCTGTTTAAGTACAAATTGACAATGATAGGTGGTTTATTCTGCTGAAATTTCAACTCAGTGCTTAGTTAACCAAATGTGAATGTAAAGAATTGTCAGGAGAGGAACACAGAACATAAACCAGAGTGCAATTAGACATTATGCAACTATATGTATTGATGATGCTCCTGCATCTTGAATTCTGTGTGCACTTCTGGTCTCCTCCAAAAAGGTAAATCACAACTGAAAAAGATTCAGGAGCTAGATTGTTGAAGACTTGAAGGGTATTTGGGGGATGTTTCACTACATTCAATTTTTATACGCTTACCTAGTCATGTCTTACTGAGTACTGTTGGATGGGATACTGGACCAGTAACTATTGGTCTGACTCCATACAGCTAGTTTTATGTTATAGTCTTATACAGTATTTGTCCTTCGTGTCTGCTAGGAAAAAAGCCCTCAGAGATATGCCACTTATTACCTTGGTGATGTTTGTGTCAGAAGATCATGTCATAAAATCTGGGGCTTTCAAGGGTAGTTACTAAACAACATTGAGAAGCAGCTCAAAGATGTACAGTTGAAAGCTAGTTATAAGTCAGTCCTTTTAGGATTGAAGAAGGGTGTGTAGTCCTGAGTGATAAAGTTAGGAAGCAGAAATACTGAAGGATTACAGAATTATAGGTTAATTTATTATAAAGGTTCAGTACTTGAAATGTTGCTTGAGAGAATACACTTAAAGTTTGTAGAGAATTAGCGTAATGTAAAGGGACAGCTCCTAAATAGATGCTATCTGCTTAGTGTGATTTTGTGTTTGTAATGATCTGTCAGTGGATTTTTCTACTTTTTGCCATGAACATATTAGAAGATATTAATTTGATCGATAATACTTTTCTAGCTTAAAACTCTTGCTGTTTAGTCTGTCTGAGTTATGAGGTAGTCAAGTATACATTTTAATTATATCTTTCTGTCTTTCAGGCCTATTTAGGGCACAGCTTTTTAATATTAGTCTTCTAAAAAATTGATTGTAATAGAAAAATTATAGCACAAAAGTAGTGAAAGTCTGTTATTTATAGTAGAATTCTTCCATGCTTTTGGAAAGGTTTCTGTAACCTCTACTTAATTTTTGAACATAACGGGAATAAAAAATTAAGTTAAACGACGTTTGGTTTTTTTGTTTTTTTTTTGTTTTTTTCACAAAAGGAGTATTAAATTTCAGTTCTTCCCACCCTGCAAAGAAAAACAGATAACTAGATAACTGACATTATTTTTAAATAGAAAATAATTTTTAAGAACAGTCTATTGACTTTTGCATTAGGAAGGCAGTTAAATGCCAATTGTCACCCGTATTCACTCTTTTTCATTCTCTGCAGCGTATGACACTATTAGATTCCCTCTTTTCACCTAGAAGAGGGCATAATTGGAAATGTGCCAAGATAGTTTGCAGGCCGATCCTTTGGAGGAACACATCTAATGAAACTGTTCTTCCACTATTATGTCCTTCACTTATGGAATCCATCAAGGATAAATGCTATTTACGCTATTTATGGAAAGCATATATGTGTGGCTACTAGGTGAACTTTTCTGCAGACCTGGGTAATGGTATGAGTATGATGCAGATGTTACAAAGTCTTACATATCCTTCACTGCATCTGCTCTAAAGACTTAGGCAAAAGTGGCCTGTGGCCTGTATAAAGAACAGCAAGCTGAAGCTAAACTTCAGCAGCACTCAACTCTCACTGGTAGGTTGAAGAAGGCATATGGAAAAGTCCGTAACTGTGGAGCTGTTACAATTGAAGCTATAGGCTCATGCTATAAGTTTAGGAAGACTCACAGGGATTCTTAAGGAAGCTTGAATAACTGCATTTGCTAATAGGCCCTTCATTACCTAGGCGATTCCGTTAATGTTTTCTTCATGCTCATGTTTTCCTCAAGTTTTCTTAGCTTCTGGGCCCTAGGAAATGCTTGGAATATTAGATTGAGCTTTTAGTGCTTGGGAACTGCTGCTCTCACAGCGTGCTTAGTAAGCTTATTTCAAAGGCATCAAACCCTGCTCTCTGTATTTTACATTGGCTTCCCATAGCACAATTCAAATGTAGTAATTTGGTCCTTATCTTCAAGTGCTTAACGAGCCGGCCCTAGATTGCCTAAAAACAATCTACAATTATGAGTAAAGACTTCTGCTTGCAAGTTCAATCATCTAGTGTAATGTGTTTTTCTACAGTAAAGGTAAAGTTATCAATGTTGTTGAAAAAGTTGTTTTGCTGGCCAGCCTAAAACTTTGAAATGAGCTGTCTTTGGAACTTCCATTTTTAAGTGCATTTCTTTGACTTTACAAACTTAGTTTGCATTCTATCAATTTTTTTCCCTGGAGGAAAAAAGAAAGAAAAAACATGAGATGGATGTCAGTAACGAATTTTAATGCATTATTGGAAAGATGAATATGCTGTAACACCAGCTCTGGGATTAGTGGAGTAGAGCCTATTCCATAAGTACCCCTCTTGACTCCTAGTTGAAAACTACTAGTGATTATTTTAAATTTTAATCTGCCTTTATGTTATATAATACTTAATGGTGTGTAGTCTTTAAAAATGAGTTACTGAATATGAGTAGTCAATAGGTCAGCACCCACTTAACTTTGTCTTCCTGCTAGTTTTTTAATCCCTTCTCGCTTTAGATTCCTTCCTGTTATACATCTGCTATATATCTTTCAGGACACACCTAAAGTCATTATGTCATACATCTGGAAATTAGTCCATTAGTCATCATACTGATCAGTACTGACTCATTTTTTTCCCCTCCCTCACTGCCTGTATCCGCCTGTTGTCTCTGGTCTTATACACATATTTTAAACTGTTTGGGAGACAAATTACCTTTTTTGCTGTATATTAGTAACTAAATTAATGGGATTCTAATCCATGACTTCAGATTCCAAGAGTTATCACAGCCTCAATCTATGTATTAGATTACACAAGTGACCAGCTGCCCATAGCTGTCCATGGAATGTCAAAGTTTCTGTGTATGGCCGCTGCTTTCACACAGCAAAGAGGACAATAGGGCCATGTGAGTTAGACTCCTCAGATGATTAAAAATTCAGAGTGAGCATTACTTTGGTGGTAGGAATTTATATTGAAAAAAGTGGGTGCAAGGAAATACTTCTGAATTTTCTGTGATTAAAGGATCATTTTTTACAAATACAAATTAGTTACTTTTTCCCCAAGAACTTACCATGACTGGTGTGAATGTGTGCGCTAGAATTAATGAAGTTGGTAGAGAAACTTCTAAATAATTTTTACTGCAGGAAGTGGTGGAGGTGATTCAGTAAGTGGCTCTTCCACATCTGAGTCAGAGCTGAACCACAGTCTCATCATGATTGTAGAGTGGTTCAACATGCTGCTGGGGAGCTGTATGTTGAATGAGACATAAATCTCAACATCCTGCTTGTTAAAAGTTCTTAAAGATGCAGTGGCGATTTCTGGCCTATTAATGCTGACTGGTTGGCCATCTGTAAATTCTGGTTGTCACTTGTTTCATTCTTTTTTAGTGCATCTTATTCTGAAGTGTTTGATTTCTGATATTAAGTCATTTTTCCTCTCAGCTTTAATAAAAAAAAAAAAGGCCTTTGCCATCAGGGAAATAGGGGAAATAGAAGTGATGTCTGTATATTGTTTATAAAGTTCTACATTATGAAGTACTTTTCTCAGAAGTGTGGTATCATTATCATTACTGTTGCAAAGCTGCAGGACATTCCAGGAACCCTTTGAGTTTATTATATTAGCCCAGGATCATACTTCACAATTGTTCTCTGATATGTCATATTTATGATTAAAATAAACAGAAACTCCCAAACCACAAGCTATTCTTTTAAGTACTCGAACCTTTCATATGCTGAGAGTATTCACATTAGAAATTACATTGCTGAATGTTTGTATGAAACTTAAGTGTTGTACTTCCAGCTGCTCTTTGACACTTACACTTTTTTACGTAAAGATAATAAACAACCCAAACATTTTATTGAAATAGAAATGTAATATACAAACTATAAAAATAACATATTATTCATTCTTCAGGAATATAAGTTGGCACTTCTACAGTGCTATGGAAGATACTTTCAGCAGTTCATTTCTGTAAACGTTGATGATATCATGGATGATGTGCATCGATTTAAATCCACCTTTTTTCCGAATGGTTTGAAAGATAAAAATGCAGCACTTACGGTAGGTTGTAGGTTTGGTTGTTTGGGTTTTTTGTGTCAAAGACATTCACAGATTCAAAATAGGTAGCCTATTTTATCCTTCATGAATGTACTTCATTTTGTTATATTAATCAGATATTAATATTAACTAATCTTAATAGTTTGTCTCTATAGATTACATTGAGATTTAAGTCATATGTGTGATATGAACATTCAGAATTGGTGTCCGTTTTTAAGAGGAGATAAATGTTTACGCTTTTGTGGCATAAGCCAACCACTACTAACTTAATATTTAAAAGGCAATCTTCTCTGAACACATTATTCGGTAACTGTCTACAGCAATTTTTGTTCTGAAATAGTTGCTATTTACCGCAGAATCCGGATATAGCAAAATTTGATAACTGTCCTGCAATTGTTGTAGAAATTTCTGTACAGTGTGATCTTAAGGACTGGACAGAGTGCAAGAGAATTAAAAAATTGTACTGTAGTTTACACCATAAATGTGCAAAAATACTACATGTAAAAAAAGCTCATGACATAGTGAAAACAAGCAGTATTGCATTATGAAAAATAGCTTATTTGCTCACTATGAAAAAAGAGGCAAAATGGTGAATAGTTTTTTAAGTTCTCTGAGGTATGGAAAGCTGGGCAACCTCAAGAATCCATTGTGATCCTTTTGTATTTATTGTTTATTGAGGAGCTTGCAATTTGTCATTTGTTACCCATGGAAGAAAGTGTTTCAATAGGCATAGGGGGAATGCTAAAAGCATGTTAGATTTTATTATAAGCCATGCTCTGCTGAGAAGCTCTATTTTCAGTACATGGTGGGTATTTCAAAATAAAGTAATGCAAGTTATTCTGTGATCAGGAACAATAAAAGAAAAGCATAGGCATTTCCTGTGTATTAAGCTAATCAAATTCATATTTCTCTAGTCAGAGTTAGATTGTAAATAGGTGTTTAGTGAGGAGAAAAAAGCAGTTTGCTTAAAAGCTAGAAGCAGATGTCGTGATAGAAAAGATACTCAGTTTATGTTATTTTTTTGTTTTTTAAACATTGTTCAGCTTCTTAGAGAGATATGATCGAAGACTATGTTAATCCATTTAATTTTGTTTTTCTTTTAAAATGCTTTGGAAGTAAATTTGAAGTTCCAGAGATGGTTTGTCCTGTGTTCTATATGTTTCCCTAGACCTTGAACCAATCGTAGTGCCAGATGTTATCATGAGTCTATACTAAAAAGCCTGTTCTATAACTTGGCCTTTAGACACTGAGCTATCCCTAAATTTTCAGATATGGAATCTAGTTTGACAATGATCTCTGTGATTGGAAATGGATAATGATAATGTGTCAGATGATTACACCTAAGTCTATATATGTTTTTTTTTGCCAGGTTTTTGTGGCTAGCTTTTGTTTTTTAATGTAACGCTAAGGAAATCGCAGAAATAGAGTTCCAGGGCTTGAAACTTCCAGTTTCGGTGAATTAACTGCAAAAAATAATATAATTTCAAACATTAGCAGGTTAATAGACTTGTGAGAGGTTGATAGTTGTTGGTTGGTGGTGTCCCACTTAGCTCATTTTCTCACATGTTCCTTTGGTCAGATGATACTGTACTCCAGACAAGACTGGGATCACATTATCTTAGGTATTACAAGGAAGAGAAGGAACAATGCATCTGTAGAGGAGAAAAGTAACGGATGGGAGTGAGAAATAAGATATCTGTGATACAGATGGAGAAGTAAAGTGCAGCAAAGTTAAGATTTGCCTTAATTTACAGCGGACATCTACAGAGAAGTGAAGGATTAAAGCCAGATTCTTCGAATCTCAATTTAATGCCTCAATCATCCTTTCTCCCTTTCAGCAGCCCTAGTGCATTAGGTGCATTTTCATCCTCTGATGCAGTGGAAACTGACTCAGGCTAATGATACAGCAACCTTAAAGCTTTAACACTTTCTCCGTATTCTATTGCTCATTTAAATGTCATGCTGATTTTTTTTGTGGTATGCTTGATCTTTTCATACTCACCATTTTGTTGTACTTTGCTGATGTGAAACTGATATATGCTTCCATTTTAACTACATATATTAATTTTACGTATGTTTCCATGTGTTTTAGTTCCATGCTTTGCAAGAGAGAAATGTTTGCATTTATCAGATGGTTTGCAGCAGTGATAGAAATCTCCAGAATCCAGAGTCCCTGCAAACTTGTTTCAGTGTCTTGTCCTCGTTACGGCTCACGATGCAAGTGGCTCTGCCTCAGGAGAATTTGTGTTGGCTTATCTACAATGGTACCTCAGGCTTTCCATTTACGTTTTTTTGCTAAGCAAACCTGTGGAGGGAAACTTCATACTTATTCTTTAAGATCAACCTAATGGTCATGAATAGTTAGTCTTCAATCACAGTAGGTTTTTTGGTAATTTCTTTTTTTCTAGAGTAAGGGATTTTTAAATTGAAGTTTCTACATATTGTGCCTTTTTCAGGTGGAGTGTTGTAAAAGTAATAGCATTTTCATCACAGCTGTGGTTAGAGTGTACTAATAAAATGAAATTTAACAGCATAATAAGGGCATTTTTTGAGTGAACCCTGATTAAAAAAACCTCAAGATTTTTTTTGTCAATAAAATGTTTGTGTTAATAAGTTTGGTTTGTTTGGGTTTTTATTTGAAAAGGGAATTGCAGATCCTAGAGTAGAAAATGATTGTCTGACATTACATCTTTGTGGTTTTTAAATGATCTTTAAGGCTAAAGTTAATAATAAATCTATTCTAAAGCATACCATATGACATTTAAGAATTTGAACCTCTGTATATGATTTTAGTGTGCTACTTATAAATGCGTGAATTGGGAAAAAAAAATTGAGGAAAAATTGAACTTCTCTGAACTAGATACACAGAGAATGGTGCATAAGTTTTTATTTCAAGAACAACAACAGTATATTTATGCTTTGAAAGGCAATGTTATTTAGTGAAGAGTCAAAAGACTATTATTAATTCATTCTACTATGGTCAATTGTTGCTACATATATAGAAGAAACAATGTGTTTTTAATTTAACTTTGGAAAATTTACTTTCTGTGAGCTATAATTGGTCAAAATTCTTATCCTTTTGTTTTACTGGGACTGTGATTGCCCTTAGTCCCCACTTTTGAGGTGTGTTTTTCGTTTGTCTGTTTCTATGGGAGAAGAATTAAAATTAAAATATACTCACCTGCCATTCTTAAGTTGCACTACATGTATGTGGGACAGCTGTCCGTACCAAGCCTAGCCAATAATCTAATTAATTTAGAAGCAGGCAATAACTCATATTTTCCCCAGTTCCTGAGCATTTTCTGCAATTCCCGGCAATATATTTTGTGCCTCATTACACATTTGACTGATAAAAAGAAATCTTCCTAATGCTGGCTCCATTCTTGATTATTGGGATAATAATACCCTTCTAGCTATGACAGTTGACATTGTGATGCCTCCCGCTGCCACAGGTGTCCCTTTCTGAACATTCGTACAGACAGAATAATAGACTTCCCCCCCACCCCCCGAACTGCAGTGTCTTTTATACTTACTTCTAGGGCTGATTTTTGAAAAGCAGTTTTGTTATATAGCCTAAATTAAGTAAATTTTTGACAGGATTTTATTTGTAAGTCACTTTGATGCTCTTGAAAACTCTCGACACGATCAATTTTCTTCATTTCACTTATCATACTTAATATCACATAATAGTGGTGTTGTCTGCCAGGACAGTGCCATGACAGACTGAAAGAATCGTATAAGGTAAGGTCTGTGAGGAGAGATCATTTTTTTTTAGAGGCTGACATTTTTTAATAAAACCAAGTTTTTTCTCTCTGTCAGTTATTTAATAAAAATTTGATGCAGTAAATTTTTAAGATTTAATTCTCTTATTATACTACTTCATTGTGTAAGTATTTTTGAAGCTAATATTGCCCAAGAATTTAATGGCTTCATCTTCTCTAATTTAAAAGTAGTTATGGAAAAATCATTAGTTTATTTTTCAGCCTCTGAAAATAACAACCCAGATATTAAGAAAAAGTTTCAGTTGGTTAGCATAATAAATTTCCTGTAGGGTTATAGAACTTACCTGTTTTTTTATTTATTTTAATTTGTTTTTGCAGGTACTATTCATATTTACATCATATGCAGACATTTGATGATGATAGGTCAGTCTGCTAAGGTATGGCAAAATAAATGGAAACATTTTAAAAATTTACAGAAATTGGAAAATGCACCTGTATTTTGGATAACACTGTATCCTGACTTTTCTATTTCATTGTCATTGCCAATAGTAGCACTTTGTCACAAGGGAATAAAATGTCTAGATTGCAAAATTGCTGCGTTCTAAGCCGTTATGCCTTTATGACTCTGCTCTTTCCTCAGTTGTGGAATTGAGCCTAATGTAATGTCTTGCTGGTCTTTGAGATGGGACATGTTAGACTGTTTCAGGGGGTTCTAGATGCTTTTTTTTTGGACAACTATATCAAGTCCCAAGAATTGGTCTTTTGTTTATTAAAATGTGGAAATGTACTGACACCTGGTGGCTTGGTTTTTAGTTGTAAATACTTGATAAAAACGACCTGGCCTTTCCCCTCTGCCCTTTTTAACTGTGAATGTAATTTTTGTTGGTCTTAGCTTTAATTTTTTCTCCTAAAACTTGAAAAAAGACTGACTAAGCCTAAACCCAGTATATTTTCTTATCTGTTCGTTATATTAATCTTTCATTGAGCAGGAAAGATTTTTTTCTCTTTGAACATCTTTTATTGAAATCAGAAGTGATTTAGCACCTCCTTTATTGTATTCAGGCTTTTACTATACAGGAAACAGAAGAATTGATCGTACATATTTCAGATTCTTTAAATTCAGACAAAAAAAAAATAATCTGTGTGTTGACATAATTTAGGACTGAGGTTGTGCATATTTTGTGAATCTCAGGGAACAGCTGATCCGAAGAAAATACAAGGGGAAGATATTGTTCAATCAATTTAGTAGGACTAATTCTTAATATTAGACTGCTGCAATGACTATGTTGGCCATAAAGTTAAGAGCTGATAGTGTAGTTCCATGATTGTAAATTAATACAAGTGCAGGCTGTCAGCAAAGAAGGCAGACTCCTTTGCATCCCAAATAATCTTGCTGATCTAGTTGAAAACCAACTTAGAAAAAAATTATCACTAGAGCTGACAAAAAGGAGAGGGATAACTCTCAAGATAAGAGCAGAAGAGGGAGGAGGGCTGCACCTCTGTAATGGTGGCTATAGTGAACTGGAGTGGTTAAAGTAGGTTGGAGGCTAAAATATAATGCTTGACCACAGTTTCAAATGGGAAAAAAACAATAATATGTGGGAGGAATGCTTTGTAGTCAATAAACATGTTAAAACTTAGTACAATGTCTGTGATTTTTTCCCCCTCTTTTAATTTGTCCTACCAGATGAGCATAAGTCTTTGTATGTGTCCTTTAGTAATAGGAAGTACATTTGTAGTAATAGTAAGTACATTTGTATAGCTTAAAATGCATTCAATTTAAAACTGGATTTCTTCAATACAGGTCCTGGAATACTTACTGTGGGCCAGTATATGTATGGAATCATCCACTCCGCTCTTATCTGTGCATTATTTAACATGGAGAACAACCCTATATACTGCAGTTTCTCAGTGTTATTTTGATTGTCAAGCCAGCATTCATGGAGAGGTAACATGATTCACCATATGTAGCATTTCAGAAGCAATCAAATGGGAAATAAATATTGATTTAAATATTCCTATTTATTATCAGGTCGTATGTATTTAGAGTACTGCCCCTATTCCAAAATTTAACTACAAAGTGGAGGTATGTTTCCATATGTAAATGAGTAACCAATTCAAATGCACTTTGTAATCAATTCAAATGTACTTTGTAATATAATCACAGTCATAGACGTCTAGCATTAAGTCGTGGCCAGCCCCCATGCATCTATACAAAGGATAATTTGAAAAGGTTTTCTTTTCCTTTTCAATGTTGTTCATGCCCTGGCTTTCATTGCAGCTCTTTGCAGTTGTCTGAATTCAAGAATTATATGATTCTAAAATTAAATACCAACATACAGAATATGAAAACAGAGTATATATATTTTTTTTAATACTTTGAACAGATATTTGCTCGCCGTGGTCTGATTAAAATTGATGAACTGAAGCAATTAGCAAATATCAGTTCTTCGTTGGAAAATTCAGAGACGAAAAAGATTTTTAGAGAGGCCACTCTAAAGGTATTCTGCAATGCATTGTAAACAGGTAGAGTAGTTACAATCTCTATGAACAGAACACGTAACTCAGTTATTTACTTACTTTTTTCTTTGTGTCAGATGTCAGTAATGATTTTCAAGAGAGCAGTATATGAATCCAGAAGAAAGCCGAAAAGCTACTTTCGACCTAAGTTAAGAGTTAACCTGAAAGAAGCACAAAATGTAAGTCTAACATTTTGTACAATCCTTCTCTGTTTACTATTTGCATGTGATGAATATGTGATATAATTCTGCTTAATTCATATGGTGCTCTTCACAAGGAGAAAGTTTTACTCTTTCAGTTTCATAGTTAACATAATTTATTGTTAAAACTCAGAAAAAGCTTGAACAGAGGGAAGAAGTAATTACTACTTTAGAAAATACTTTTTCTTCTAGCATTTTTTTTCCTTTAACAACTATGTTACAAATAAAACTAAGAGAAATCTTGTTCATACCAAGTGTGCAGGAGTCCTGAGTTTGCCCTGCTGTGTTGAATTACAGTGAAGATAAAGGGGTACTTTGAAGAAAAGCTACTGTGTTTAAAAATTCTTTTGTACTTGCATTGGAGAACTCTTAAATCTTGAGAGATTGTTTTTGAATTATAGAATCATAGAATGGTTTGGATTGGAAGAGGCTTAAAAAATCACCTTAGTTCCAGCCCTCCTGCCATGGGCAGGGACGCCTTCCACTAGACCAGATTGCTCAGCCCCATCCAACTTGGCCTTGAAGACTTCCAGGGATGGGGCATCCACAACTTCTCTGGGCAACCTATTCCAGTGTCTCACCACCCTCACAGTAAAGAATTTCTTCCTAATATCCAATCTAAATCTACCCTCTTTCAGTTTAAAACCATTACCCCTCCTCCTATCACTACAATCCCTGATAAAGAGTCCCTCCCCATCTTTCCTGTAGGTCCCCTTTAGGTACTGGAAGGCTGCTATAAGGTCTCCCAGGAGCCTTCTCTTCTCGAGGCTGAACAATCCCAACTCTCTCAGCCTGTCTTCATGGAAGAGGTGCTCCAGCCCTCTGATCATCTTGGCCCTCCGCTGGACTCGCTCCAACAGGTCCATGTCCTTCTCATGTTAGGGACTCCAGAGCTGGATGCAGTACTGCAAGTGGGATCTCAGCAGAGCAGAGTAGAGGGAGAGAATCACCTCCCTCAACCTGCTGGCCATGCTTCTTTTGATGCAGCCCGAGATATGGTTGACTTTCTGGTCTGCAAGCACACATTGATGTGTCAGGTTGAGTTTTTCATCAACTAACACCCCCAAGTCCTTTTCCTCAGGGCTGCTCCCAATCCATTCTCCGCCCAGCCTGTATTTGTGCTTGGGATTGCCCTGATCCACATGCAGGACATTGCACTTGGCAATGTTGAACTTACAAGGTTCTCAGGGGCCTACCTCTCAAGCCTATCAACATCCCTCTGGACAGCATCCCTTCCCTCCAGCATGTCAAACACACCACACAGCTTGGTGTCATCGGCAAGCTTGCTGTGGGTGCATTCAAAGCCACTGTCCATGTTGCTGACAAACATGTTAAATAGCACCAGTCCCAATACCAACCCCTGAGGAACACCACTTGTCACTGGTCTCCACTTGGACATTGAGCCATTGACCACAACTCTTTGCGTGTGGCCATCCAGCCAATTCTTTTTCCACCGAGTGGTCCATCCATCAAATCCATATCTCGCCAATTTAGAGACAAGGGTGTTGTACGGGACAGTGTCAAATGCCTTGCACAAGTCCAGGTAGATAATCTCAGGTGCTCTTCCCTTATCCACTAACACTGTAACCCCGTTGTAGAAGGCCACCAAATTTGTCAGGCACGATCTGCCTTTAGTGAAACCATGTTGGCTGTCTCCGATCACCTCCCTATTTTCCATGTGCATTAGCACAGTTTCCAGGAGGATCCTCTCCACGATCTTGCTGGGCACAGAGGTGAGACTGACTGGCCTGTATTTCCCCAGGTCTTCCTTTTTCCCTTTTTAAAAATGTTTCCCCTTTTCCAGTCAGCAGCCATCCCACCATGTCTCCATGATGCCAGTAAGATCAAAGTGAAGGCCACCACTTATTTTTCTGCAAGATACCATGAATTAGAGAAAGGCATCCAGGATACTAAGCAGACTTTTAAGGAAG